TTTTTCTCTAAATAAATAAAACACACACACACAACTATATATATATATATATAGATACACACACACACACACACACACACGGAATGAGCTCCTCGTAGCTGGACGAAAGCAAACACCGATGGAAGCTGGAATGGGGAAGTTGTTGGTATTGGTGGAATCTTTAGAAATGAGCAGGTAAAATACTTGTGTTACTTCTCATCTATTTATTTCGCTGATACTTTCTTAGAATATAAAGCTTTGGTTGTTTGTTTGCATTTTCAAATTGTTGTTTGTTCTAACTATTGTCAAGTGCAAGTGAAAATGGACTCCAATGTTCTAGTTGAAATTTTAGAGGCAATAGAGCTGCTCCATGGGAAATAATGCACTACTTAAAAAGAATAAATAAAGCTATATCACATATTAACATCTTATGAAAGTTTATTTTCAGGGAAGGTTATAGCTAGCTCACTGGTTGGCTAGAAAAGTTACTTTGAGCTCTCTGGTTGTTGTGAGAAAGACTTGTTCAATTGAGCTATAGAGAATTATTGATGGTGATTTGTTAGATACACCTTGTTTATACACCAGAATTTGTACCATTTTGGGTTTAGAAGGTTCTACCTTCTATCATTTATAACTTTCCCACATATCAAAAAAATTCGATGTGTAGTTCCATATATATATATATATATATATCTATATATATATATATATACACCTTGTTTATATATAATTTTTATTTTTTTGCTTTTCATTTTTTTTTTTTTTTCATTTTTTTATTTTTTTTTATTTTTTTATTTCTTACTTTAATTTATTTTTTTTATTTTTTATTTCTTCCTGTTTTTGTTTTTTTATGTTTTTTACTTTTTTATTTTTTATATTTTATATTTTATTATTTTTTTAGTTATTTATTTTTTTAATTACATTTCAAGTTTTAACTTAATGATCTCGCTCGATTCTCAACCTAAATGTATGGGATATGTTCCTAAAGCTTCATCTAAATGAGATGAACACATCTATGTGGCTAGATGGACATGAATTGTTCATTTCTTTCACAAAAAGTCCAAACTAATGCAAAATTAAGAGTTTTAAGTGTATACCTAGGTCCAACTGATGAGGTCTCGATTAAATTGGTTGAAAAGCTTTGCCTTGATGCCACACACTTCTCTTTGCTTCAATTTGATCTGAAATTGGGCTTAGGTAAAGGTTGGTCGGGTTTGGTCTAGCACTAACTAGTTTAGACACCGTGGAACAAGAGAATTTTAAATGGGGAAGTAGTGGGATTTTCTCAAATTCCATCATCTCGGTTCTCAAATCATGACGTCGAGCCCACTTAATGGGATAAATGTTTGTTGTTGTTGTTGTTATTGTTGTTGAGAGCTTAACATGGATTTCTAGCAAACAAAAAATCAAGATCAAAATGATTGTTAAAAAATATGATGGCAACACATCTGGCATATCCAAGGCGAAAAAGTAGTAAGATCGTCATTTTGTATTAATCTCATAAGGGATGAACAAATATGTTAGAAGGCAAACTAAAATGGATTGAAATCTAATGCGGAGAAAAGAAGAAATATTTAAAGAGCGAAAGGGGTAAAAAAGAAAAGAAGGCAGCTAAAATAATTAAAGAATATATTAAAAAAAAGTTCAAAACAGTAACAGGAACAATTATGCTAAAAATGAATGGATTATAAAAGATCCAAAAAACCACAACAATAGATAGGCACAACAATGTGGTTTACCAATGCTTTCACAATGATAACTATAATGTTGATCATGAAAGTCTTACAGTCCTAAATTTTTATACAAGACAGCTATAGCGTGATGTATTTAGCCACTACATGGCATCATGTCCCATTATTTGTTAAGTATCCAAAACTTGTGGAGAGGCCGTGTTGAAAAATTGTTAGCTTAGTTTCACAAATCTAAAGAGTTATTTACATACCAACAACAACCTCAGCCCGAACTAAAGGGCTTCCATCTCCAATAAGTTGCATAAGGTCTTTGACAATACTCAGCTCGATCTTAGACTTGTTATCCACATCACAATCCTCATCACCTAAATTTCAATCTCTAAATGAGTCAGATCCAATTTCAATAAGAGTGCCAAGAGCAAAAAATGGATGCAATTCTAACCTGAAATATAATGATTACTATATAATTCAAATAAATAAAATTGGTAAAAAAAGTAAACCTTAAATGAGCGGGGAATGGGAGAAAATGGGGGTAAACCTCTTATTGGAGCTCAGACAACAAAGGGAAGAAAATAACTAGTGTATCCTCTTGTAAACAAATAATTTGTGCTTCATGGAAAGCCTCCAAAATTTTTTCCAAACAAAGGCACAACCATTGAAGTAAGACAGGCTCGCTCTGTGCATCATTGGGGTTTGCAAGTTGCAGATGCTTCAAGCATACACAGAAAAGATTAGTTTGCTTGCGTGCCTCTTGTCCCCGTATGTGTCCATCAAAAATAACTGCTAAAACAAAGGCATTCATTGCCCAATGCTTTGGGTAAGCATCCATGCTACCGAGAAACTTAATAAAATATGCATGGCCTCCATAATTCACAAGATCAACCTGACAAGAGTTTTTCCCACAAAAAAAAGAGGTTTCAGCTTAACAATCAAAAAAATAGTATGCTACAGAACTTCTTCCTCCCATCAACAAATCCTTAGTTCATTATATAAAACATAG